CATTATATCTTATTATTATTATCTAACAATAATATCTAATTATATCCAATAATATCTCAAGATATCTTTTAATTTGTACCAATATCTCAAGATATCTTTTAATTTGTAAATGTATCCAATATATAACAATATTCAAGAATATCTTTTAAAATGTCTAACAATATCTAATAATAATTTTTTAATTAATAATTTTTTTCCAAATCTTATTCTTTTAGAAAATAAAATAAACCCTTTAAATAAAAATAACAAACTATTTTATTTTTATTTAAAATAGTTAACTACATACGTATATTTTTCCTAATTTATTAAAATTTATAGAATCTCACATTCCCCACCAAAAACAATTTTCATCTACAAAAATATACTTACAAAATGTATCTTCTTCTTATGTTTTCCACATAAAATAGATACTTAAAATAATAGTTAAACAAATACGATAACATATTCATACTTTAACAAACAATGCACAACAATTATTATAAATATTTCACTTACATATAAAACAAATAATAAAAAAAATATATATACCATAATCAAACACATGACCACTAATCCATCCATAATAAGGAACTCTGTATCATTCACTTCTATAAAAACTATCTTTTCTTATTTCAAATAACGACTTCCATAATTACCATATTTTTTAAATATCTAATTTATCAGGGTCTTACATATATAATTTACTCAATGTAAAATACAAATAAACTTAATCTTGTTAAAAATATTTAATAAAAATATCAATTTTAATAAAAATATTTGTATAACATTTATATATAATTAAATTTTGTTTTAATTTCGGAGGAGACAAAATTATTTAATTTAAAAAAATAAAACTAAACTAAGACAAAATAAGAATAGAAGAACCAGAAACTAGTGTAATGTGACTCATCCTGTCGTTGTAACGTACATTTGACACAAGACAAATTTTTATCTTTATAAAAAATATTAAAAAATGAAAAATAAAAATAATTAAAAGAAATATTTAAAAGAATCAGAAACGGATCCATGACACATCCTTTAACTGTGTTAGTTCTGTAATCACAGAAGGACCTAATTACTTTTATTTTTTTAAAATAAGAAATCAATTGAGGAAAAAGAATGAAAGGATAGATCTGCTACTTCTAACCAAAAAAACGTGATCACTGAAATGATTAAACCAAAAATATATATTCACTTTGTACGTAGCAAAGGCATCAGCCTCTTATTCTAATTTGGCAACGTTAGAACGTAGAAACAACTTTACAATGAAGAGACGACAACAGTGGGTGTGGATTTTATGCCTGATTTTGCAGAAAATCTCAGAGGTTAGTTCCCAGCAAGAATTATGTACACATAGATGTTAAATTTTATTTTACAACCCTCAAAGTTTTTGGAATAATAGCATTAACTACACTAACATCTAGAGCACAAATCACCTCCATCGAGTGTATTAAAAAGCAATATACTAATATTTTTCACATATTATATAAGTTGCTTTGTAAACATTAATGGATGAGAGGATCGATACAATGCCAGAAAAAAAAAAAAACCCATCCATACACGTTGAAGGGATAAGTTAATTTCACAGTGGGATCAACCCTGCTCCGAAACTATCAATGGTGCGATTTAAGCTTCCTAGAATTGTTTTATTGTTCAAGTTGGCCACTGAAGATGAGAATCAAAAAATGTCCACGTGAACCATTCAATTTAATAATTTATTCACCATGCAGTAGCCAGAACTAGTGCACGTGAACTATGACTACAAAGTTTGAGGAATCTCAACGTCTTTGCAGCGACATCCCTTCGAACCACTATTGTTTCACAGAAAGTGGCTGAGGTCCAAACAGTAGATTCAGCTTTCAAAAAATAATATAGAAAATATAGAGAAAGACATCCAAAAGGGCTTGTAATAAGAAGCGAGTAGAAGACAAACAGATAGTCAAAGAAAGAAAGACAAAAAAAAGAGAGCAAAGAACGTATTCAATGAAGAAACAAGGGTGTGAGGTTGAGGCAACAGACATAAACTACAACATCCGTACAAAGGCAGCAGAGCAACCTTCTAAAATCTTCAGAAATTTTTCACAATTGAATAGGGAGGAAGATGGTCGTGAAGCAGAAGATGAAGAAAAAACTGAACAAAGATCATGCAGTGGAGTTAGGCATGTCCTCAAGAACGTGAACTGCATAGCAAAGCCACTGGAAATTCTGGCAATTGTTGGGCCAAGTGGGGCTGGGAAATCATCCCTTCTTAAGATCCTAGCTGGTAAAGCTAGTTCACAAAGTGGGTGTATCTTGGTGAATCAAGAGCATATGGATACAGCTGAGTTCAAAAAAATTTCTGGGTATGTTTTGCAAAAGGATACCTTGTTTCCCTTACTTACGGTTGAAGAAACCATAATGTTTAGTGCAAAGCTAAGGTTACGTCTTCCTCAAGAACAACTATGCTCCAGGGTCAAGTCAGTGATTCTAGAGCTTGGTCTTAGCCATGTTGCTAGGAATAGAATTGGAGATGACAGGGTCCGTGGCATATCTGGTGGTGAGAGGCGCCGAGTTTCCATTGGTGTTGAAGTCATACATGATCCAAAGGTACTGATTTTGGATGAACCAACTTCAGGGCTTGATAGTACCTCAGCTTTGCAAATAATTGATATGCTTAAAGTAATGGCTGAATCTAGGGGGCGAACTATAATCCTGACTATCCACCAACCCGGGTACAGAATGGTGAAGTTGTTCAACTCAATACTGTTATTGGCTGATGGTATTGTGTTGCACCATGGCTCTGTGGATTTTCTGGGTGTAAATCTGAGGCTAATGGGTTTAGAAATTCCTCTTCATGTTAATGTGGTTGAGTTTGCCATTGACTCCATTAAGACCATTCAGCAACATAAAAAATGTCAGCAGGTTCAGCTAGAAGCTTCGTGGCGATTATCAAGGACAATGTTACAGGAGAAATGTGATGAGCAGGGTGAGAGTACAAGTGGTAAGTTTACTTTGCAACAGCTCTTTCAACAATCCAAGTTAATTGATGAAGAAACCATTAGTGCGGGAATGGATATCACTTTTGATTTTGCAAATTCTGTATTGAGAGAAACTATGATTCTCACTCATAGATTCTCCAAAAATATCGTACGCACAAAGGAACTCTTTGCGTGCAGGACAATTCAAATGCTGGTTTCTGGACTGGTTTTGGGCTCAGTCTTTTGTAATCTCAAGGATGGTATGGAGGGAGCGGAAGAAAGAGTGGGTCTCTTTGCTTTCGTTTTAACGTTTATGTTATCAAGCACCACCGAAGCTCTACCAATTTTTCTGCAAGAAAGGGATATTATAATGAAAGAAATATCTAGTGGAAGCTACAGAGTTTCATCTTATGCTATCGCCAATGGCCTAGTTTCCTTGCCATTTTTGCTCATACTAGCCATTTTATTCACAGTGCCTCTGTACTGGCTTATTGATCTCAACAGGAATTTTTCGGCATTTTTGTTCTTTCTGATGCTAATCTGGCTAATTCTTTACACTGCAAATTCGATAGTGGTATGTTTCAGTGCTGCAGTGCCTAATTTCATTGTTGGGAATTCAATGATTGCCGGTGCCATCGGTTCGTTTCTTCTGTTCTCTGGATACTTCATATCAAAACAGCAAATTCCAAGTTACTGGATTTTCATGCATTATATGTCTCCATTTAAGTATCCCTTTGAAGGGTTTCTGATAAATGAGTTCTCCAACTCAAAAAAGTGCTTGGAGTACTTGTTTGGGGCATGTGTGGTGAGAGGAGAGGATGTACTTAAGCTAGCAGAGCTTGGAGGGGAGACTAGTAGATGGAAGAATGTTGGGGTGATTGTGTGCTTCATCCTGGTTTCCAGGTTCATTTATTTTGTAATTCTTAGGTACAGATGCTCACAAGGAATCATCCTAAAAAGTTGATGACTCTCTCACTCTCGAGAGGGTTGGTTCACATCACTCGGATTAATCTGCATAGAGGAAACAAAGAAGATGTAGAATCATATCATCAAGCAAAAAATGTAACAAGACAACAAAAATGATATTGTGGTTGTTTCTGTTTTCAAGCATACTTAATTCACACCACCGTCTCTCTCTTCATCATTCACATTCTTCTTCCCTCCTAATTTTCTTTCACAATACATGCTTTTTGCCAGAAATAGTGAAAGGAGGATCCTATATGCTGGCCGAGGGATTCTGCCGTTTTTATTTTTACACACGAAAAAGCTTCAGTATCTTGTGTAGCAACTCCCATAATGAAAATAGGTGATGCAGTAACTGAAGAGATGGTATATAAATATTAATTTCACCAGGCTTACTCTAAAATCCTAATTTCAATCACAACACACTCTTGTAAGACATGGTATATAAATATTAACAAACAGCATAATGAAGCAATTAACAGCTTGATCTACGGAGATATATCTGCTATTCCTTTTTATTGTAGTTTTATATCCCTATATGCTAGTGGCCAAGAACCCATCTGATTTACAGGATGAGTCCATTTGTAAATATGACACTAACTATTTTGAGCTCATATATTTGGCAATCAAACTGATCATATGATCAAAATCAATGAGCTTAGCTGCAAGAAAGTTAGCAGACTGAAAGTATATATCAGAGATGCACTGACGCAAGTGGTAACAACAAACCGACGGGTACATTCGAGATTCTACATCTTCAGCCTACTTACTATAAATTTGACTTAAACCCTTATGAAAAATTTTGGACGCTTCATCTCAAATTTCTAGAGCCTTGCTCAAATATGCGAACTTTAATCCCAAACCTTCCTACTTTCTAGTGAAAACTCGACAACTAGCCAGAAGATTTTCATTTATACAACTTCTGTATCAGCCTCCGATTCCATTTCACAATGCAAGACAAGTTCAGAGTCACTTTCCTCCTCGCAAAACTCATCATCATCAGCTTCTGGCACATAGCCAGCCCGCTTCATCTGTGCTGTGAGAATTTTCAGAACTAAATGGATGTCCTTCCTACGAGGATGCCTTTTATCTTTCACCATGAAAACATGCACGCGACTCTGAATTTCAATCCAACTGCAACCAGGTTGCTTAACTACTCCCTGTTGCCTCATCTGTTTCCGGACTTTGACCACGTCTTTCCATCTTCCAAGCTCAGCATACATATTTGAAAGAAGAACGTAAGGTCCAGAGTTCAAGGGATCAATTTCCATGAGCTTTTCCGCTACATGCTTCCCTAATTTAATGTTTCCATGAACCTTACAAGCAGCAAGTAGAGATCCCAAGACAACGGCATCTGGTTGCATCGGCATTGTCTGCATCAAATCGTTTGCTTCATCAAGGCAGCCAGCCCGACCTAGTAAATCAATCATGCATGTAAAATGGTCCTTCAACGGTGCTAAACCATACTCAAGCCTCATTGAGTGGAAGTAACGTCGTCCTTCTTCAACAAGTCCTGCATGGCTACATGCAGATAGAACTCCAATCATAGTAACAGGGTCTGGTTTTTCTCCAGATAGCAGCATTTTCCTGAAAATTTCGAGGGCGCTTGTACCATTACCATTTTGTGCATACCCCACTATCATGGCATTCCATGAGACAGTATCCCTTTCTACCATATGCTCAAAAACCCGGCACCCATCTTCAACCATTCCACATTTCATGTACATGTCAATGAGAGAATTCCCCACAAAAATGTCAGATTCTTCTCTAGACTGAAACCAATATCCATGCTTCAAAATGTGAGTGTGAGCCTGTCTACCAAGTTTCAGATCGGCAAGATTGGCACACGCATTAAGTAGATTCCCAAAGGTGTAATGGGTTGGCCAATGAGAATCCCTCTTCAGGAGGAGGAAAAGTTTAACTGCCTCCTCATTCTCTCCATTTTGTGTGTAACCTGCAATAAGAGCATTCCAGGACACCACATTCCTCTCCATCATCTTCGAAAACATCAACCTTGCCGCTTTCACACTTGCTGCCCTGGCATATCCACTAACCATAGAAGTTTCAGACACAACATCCCTAACCGGCATCCTATCAAAAACCAGTCGAGCTTCCCTAATTCTTTTGCACTTTGCATACATATCAACTAACGCATTGCCTAACACAAGGTCATTCCGAAACTTATCCCTTTTGATGACACGAGCATGTATTTGCAAACCTTCCCTGGTTGCAGACAAGCTCGCACAGGCACTGACTACGCTAGCCAGAGTTATTTCATCAGGTTCAACCCCATTATCCATCATCCTAACAAAAACTTCCAGAGCTTTTCCTGCAGGCCCATTTTGCTCGTAACACGTTATCAAACTGTTCCAAGACACTATATTCCGCACAACCATTTCATCAAAAGCCTTTTGAGCACAAATCACCACTCCACACTTAGAGTACATATCAACAAGAGCAGAACCCATATAAACATCTAATAAGTAACGAGATTTTGATATCAAAGCATGGATTTGAATCCCTACATTGAAATCTGTCAACCCTGCACAAGCACTGAGAGCACTCCCAAACGAATACTCATTAACCACAAAATCCTCACTATGCATGTCAACAAAGAACTTCAATGCTTCCTCAAATCGATCATGTTGTGCAAAACCCGACACCATAGCATTCCATGAGCATTGGTCAGGCTCAGGCATCGACATAAAAACGTTCCAAGCCTCGTCAAGCTTCCCAAACTTCGTCAAAACGCTTAAAATCGCATTATAACTGAAAGTGTTCCTCAGCGGCATATGAACAAACACCTTGTGTGCGTCCTCAAAACAACCGCATTTTCTATAAGCATCAACGAGTCTGTTCTGAATGAAAACTTCAGATGAAAACTGTGTCTTAATGATTCGACCATGAATGCGACGCACGTCAATTCCAGACTTTGATCGAACGCAAGAGTCCAATAACCTCGCGAAGGGTGAAGAATCGAGGAAACAAAGGTCACCCACCACTTTTTGAACGAACGCATGTCTACCCATTCATAGAAAAACCCTTAATTTGAAGAAGTGAGTCCTTTAAACGAAACCATATAGAAAGACCTCCTAATTTGGTTCAGAGAAACCAACATGACCATGCTCCCCAACAATGTCGTTTCCTCCGTTGAAAAGTGTTCGTCTATGATTTCAAAGTGTGTCTCGGCGAGGAGGGTGAAACTCGCAAGAGCCGTGCACGGTCACCTTATAAAAACCGCGCTTTTCTTCGACGCTTTCCTCGCTAACGGTCTCATTGACGCGTATTCGAAGTGCGGCAGCGAAGAAAGTTTACAAAAGGCCTTCGACGATCTTCCCAGCAAGAACACTCGTTCGTGGAATACGCTAATCTCGTTTTACTCGAAAACGGGCCTTTTCCGTAAGGCCCGTAATCTGTTCGATAAAATGCCTCAACGGAACGTCGTTAGTTATAACTCGCTAATATCCGGTTTCACGCGCTATAATCTTCACCAAGATTCGGTTAAGCTCTTTCAAATGATGCAAAACGGTCGAAACGTTTTGGTGTTAGACGAGTTCACCCTCGTTAGCGTAGTTGGAAGCTGCGGTTGTTTGGGGAACGGTAAATGGTTGCGCCAGGCTCATGGGGTGGCAGTTATAGTTGGCATGGACTGGAACCTGATTCTCAATAACGCGTTAATTGATGCTTATGGGAAATGTGGTGAACCCGACTTGTCGTATTCTGTGTTTTGCTGGATGCCAGAGAGAAATGTAGTGTCTTGGACGTCAATGGTTGTGGCTTACTCTAGATCATGTAGATTGGATGAGGCTTGTAAGGTATTTAAGGATATGCCGGTTAAGAACACGGTTTCTTGGACTGCTTTGATAACGGGTTTTGTGAGAAATGGGCGTTGTGGTGAAGCTTTTGATGTTTTTAAGAAAATGTTGGAAGAGGGTGTGAGACCTAGTGCTCCAACTTTTGTGAGTATTATAGATGCTTGTGCAGAAGAGGCTCTTATAGGAAGAGGTAAGCAGGTGCATGGTCAAATTATTAGAGGTGACATAAGTGGGAACTTGTTTAATGTGTATGTCTGCAATGCTTTGATTGACATGTATGGTAAGTGTGGAGATATGAAATCAGCTGAAAATTTGTTTGAGATGGCTCCTGTCAGGGATGTGGTTACTTGGAATACGTTCATAACTGGTTTTGCACAAAATGGTCATGGGGAGGACTCATTGGCTGTGTTTAGAAGGATGATAGAAGCCAAAGTAGAGCCCAATCATGTGACATTTCTTGGCGTGCTATCTGGTTGTAGCCATGCAGGTTTAGATAATGAAGGGTTAGAGTTGGTGGATTTGATGGAAAAAAAGTATGGAGTGAAGCCTAAAGCTGATCACTATGCTTTACTGATTGATTTGCTGGGGAGAAAAAACAGACTGAAGGAAGCCATGAGTTTGACTGAAAAGGTGCCTGGTGAAACTATGAATCACATTGCAGTTTGGGGTGCAATATTGGGTGCTTGTAGAGTTCATGGGAACATGGACCTTGCTAGAAAGGCTGCTGAGACACTGTTTGAGTTGGAACCAGAAAATACAGCTAGGTATGTTATGCTAGCAAACATATATGCTGCAGATGGTAGATGGGGTGATGCCAAAAGAATTAGGACGGTAATGAAGGAAAGGTGTTTGAAAAAAGAACCAGCTTTTAGTTGGATTGAGTTGAGAAATGTGAGACACGAGTTTGTGGCCAAGGACAAGCTGCATCGACAGATTGGAGAGATATGTGAAGTGAACAATAAATTAGTCCTTCATTTGAAGGATGCTGGGTATCATCAGCCTTATATTGATTACCCTTTTCATCCAGATTATGATGATGATTTCTACTTTAGTTAGTCAATATAGCCGCATTGATGAGAAGCTTTTGTCATGGTGTTATCATGCCACCGTGATTATCAAGAATGCTAACTATCTTCAATCATACTCCTCTCAATACTAGGCTGTGAGTCAATCGGTATGTTTGTTTTCATGTTGAGACGCTTCAACTGTCAGTTCAACTCAATAACACAAAACTCATGAAGAAATTGGAGTGAATACGCATTGGAATGTGTATTAAGTTTTGGGTAACACGTTGAATATTAGTGAACGTGGTTCCAAGAAGCAACTAATAGTTGGTTTTGAATTGTTGTTGTGTGATTTTGCTCTGAATATCCCTTATGGGAAAGCAAGCATTCTCCAAGTAATAACTGAATGTGGTCATGTTTGGTATTGATTAGCACTGTAATTACAAACATTGGCATTGTATTGAAATTTGACCAACTGTAGCTATTGATTAGCATTGATCATAATTATGAATGATCACTGCAAACAATAATAGGCCTTTCACACCTGCTATTGTTTATTGTGTAAATGTGTCATCAAGTAAAATTATACATTATTTATGTACTCAGTTGACTCTTGACCATAACATACTTCCTTTTAATTTTAATTTTAAATTTAAACTGACAACAGTCAAGTTTCTTCGAAATGATGATAATCTCGTGGTCGTTGGGAGGGACCACAATTCTTTGGAACACATTGCCATATGTTTCCTCCCTCTAACGTCGCTCAATTTATCTCATTCAGAATCAGCCTGCAGTTTCATGACAGTAGTTTCCAAATGTGTATTAACGTTTGCAAAAACAAAAAATTCTTGTTGAAATTTTGCTCGTGGCTTTTATTCTGAAATCAAGTTAATAGTGAAGCATTTATCTAAAAAAAACTCAACTTTAAATTTAGAATTCATTCTATTATGTGAAAATGAACAGGTGAATAGTTATATAAATCACGTTAACTAGTATTTTTATCACTTAATACTTGTTAGTAATTTACAAGTTTGACAACTGAAAATGTTCAGAACAGAACACTAGAACATGGACTTTAAAACAACGTGAAATATAATCCAAAGGATGGGTGTGGAAAATGAACATTTTGGACCATTTACTTTTACTCCCATCCAAGACGGCAACGACTTGTTCATTACAAATTCCAAAAAAAAAAAAGACTAAGAAAAAGACTACATATTTCCCCAACACTTATATTCGTTACCATGTTCTTCTTTGTCCCTTCACTCCTCCCTCAAACATGAACACAACCCACCAAACACACTCTTTTCACGAGAGTGGAGGAGACACAGAATTCAGTTTCTGGGGTTCATCAAACACCACACTTTCTAGCGATTGTGATCAACCACAAGGCAATGAAGCAAGGTTCAACAAGGAAGCAGATTTTGGAGAAACACACCAAAGGAAAAACTTAAAGTTTGAGCATTCACCTTTTTGTTCTACGGCTTCTCACCCTTCAAGGAGCAAAGCTATTGCACAAGGACAAAGGGAACTTATGGAGATGGTGCAAGACATGCCTGAGTCTGGCTATGAACTCTCTTTTCAAGACATGGTGGTTCATGAGAAGCATGTGCTGGAACCAGAACAACCACATCAAAATGAAACTTCCCTGAACAACACACACATGCAAAGTAGTGGCAAAGCTCAAGTCAAAAAGCTAAAGAAGAAGAAAATCAAAAGTAATAGTAGACCTGGTCAGATATTGCGGGTTGAAAGCATGGACAGTGACACCTTCCTCCTGAAGTTGTTCTTTCCAATCTCTCTTGATTGGATGAAGAAGGATAAAATGAAGAATGAGTCCAAGGTTTCTTCTAGACCTTCATTGCAGGAATCTATAAAACAAGTGGGAAAAGATTGGAGAATTAAACGATTTTCCCTTTCAGGAAACAACACAGAAGATGGCATGAGTGACACAAACAGGTGGATACTGAAACTCTCCATATGTTTCGGAAACACTTCTAATTCTGCGAGAGAGAGAGGTTGTGAAGAAAAAATGAAATGAATTTCTTCACAAGCTAAGTGTATAAACGAATTTATGAAATCTGTTATATAATTTTTCTGATTACTAATCCTTTTTATGAAATCGCTCGTATAGAGTACTAGTCCTTTTTATTAGACTTAACTCGTTTTATTCAAAAAAAAAGTCCTTCTAATATTCTGTATTAGAGGCCAAGAGTCATATAATTGTAGTGATCAAATAACTAGAAATTAACGTAGTTTAAGTGAAACAAACTTGGTGTGGTGTATATTATCCACTGATGCTTTTTTAGTTTCATCAGGTATTTTGATCACAGTTCTTCATTCTCAAATGGATGCTGGTCATTCCTTCCTTGTGCAAAAAGCAAAACAAAGAATATGAGAGGGTGAATTACTTATAATGGAAACACAAAACATGGAGTGCCATGGAAATTCACAACAGTAATAAAAATGTGAAAGAGTATTCCAGGGCATGAAAAATCCCAAAGGAAGACACCATAGATTTTAACTCCCAGGTTTGATAGTCAAGGAAATTCATTTCATTAGTTAGTATTGAGAAATGTAAAGACCACCAACAACTTCTCTTTGGTCATAAATTAGAGCACATAGCATATGTCAAGAGTTTTGCAGTCCGATAATTGAAAGTTCAACTTTTGTTTGTAAACTTTTGTCCTGTTTTAGACTTATATGTATTTTTAACTATCTATCCATTTCTTACTATAATCCTTAATCTAAAATTCGACATGCTTACCAACTTGTTCTTTATTGTCACTTTTGATTTCTGAATAAAAAAATTACGCGTGAATGTTTCTTCCTGTATGTGACATGTTACTGAACTTAAATATCGTGTTTAGGTGAAGGAAGTTGGTAAATTTATATTCCCTTTAAACATACATCATTACACCATGATGTGACATTTTAAATCATTGGCTGAATCCTTAGGGTGGTATATTTGATTTTTGAATGAAATAGGAAAAACATAAGGAGACACACATCTCTGTGTGGTGGAGACTTGCTCGGTGTTATGAGTTTTGTTTTATCTGGCGTGTTTTTTGTTAGTGTTTTCTGGCTTATTTAGACAAGGGCAGATCTAAGACAGGTATGAACTAAAATGTATATAGACAAAAATTATTTGAACTGTCCATTCATAAGAATTTATTATACAAGACAGGATGAAAATAAAATGATTAACAAACAATGAGACATGAAAGATAAGACAGGACGAACAAGAAAGATGATGAAGAAAAAAGAAACAAAGAATGAAAAAAACAAAGCACCAAGGGGAGTATAAAATAAATACCGGTGTATATAGAGAGGTGTGGTGAGCATTAATCTTATATTTCAAAATGAAATTGGACGATTAGAATTAGAACAATGAATCAACATAAATTATGATCAATAAGAGAAAGAAACAAGTGGAGGATAGAACCTTCAAACAACAACCACAGGATGAACAATCACCGCAAAGGGAACCTATCATGTTTGATATTGTTCTTCTTCTTGTTCCTCAGTCATTGTAACTGCCGACACTTTCTGCTCAAGACTCAACACTCACTCCTCTATGGCCATGGCCACCCTCTCCTTCCCCATTTTCCCCACAACCACCGCCTTCAGGATCAAAGCATCCGCCGTAGTCGCCACCCCCTCCACCAAGGTCGTTCCCGCCGTCATTGTCGGCGGCGGAAGAGTGGGGCAGGCCCTGCAGGACATGGGCAGCGGCCAAGACCTCCTCGTTCGCCGCGGAGAGGCCGTACCACTGAACTTTGAAGGCCCCATTTTGGTGTGCACGAGAAACGATGATCTTGAAACCGTACTTAAATCCACTCCTTCTTCCAGATGGGATGGTGAGTTTCTCACTGTCATGCATTGTGGGTTGAATTTGAGTTGATGGACTTTGTTAGGAGTTGAAAGATCGATTGAACAGAGAGTCTCTGGGATTAACTTTCACGTGATTATATTGCTAACATATATTCGGGTTTCTCATCTTACTCAATGTGGGATTCCTAGAACTTTTGGTGGTAATGATTTGGTGTTGTTTTCTCAGATTTGGTGTTTTTCCAGAACGGAATGATGGAGCCGTGG